CTTAAAAAAATCAGGCTTACCTCAAAACCTCTGTCGATCTGAGTGTCCACGATCTGGAACGTCTCGTACTCAGTGTGATAGATCGGGTAGCCGGTGACGTTGTACTTTTTCTGAAACAGAGCAGGTAGTGAAAGTGATTTGCTAAGTCAAAAGATAAACTTAAAAACAAATAGTCTAAGTAACACTTTTACATGCTTTGCATCAAACGTAGGTCACCTATGTGACCAATATTAGAAGTCGTGTTACTAGAGAGTAATATACAAAGAAAGAAGAGGAAAGAAAAGGACACTAGATGTTTGATAGGAAAGAAGGAGTAGACCAACCAGATCATCATCATCATCATCATCATCATCATCATCATCATCATCATCATCATCATCATCATCATCAGTTATAAGATTTAAAAAATATAAGACGGGTTGCCCTGAAATGAGAAAGTAACTCACAGGGTCATGGACGTAACTGATGTCTACCGCTGTGATTCCTGCCCTCTGGAGCAGAGGGGCATAGTCACTGCCAGAGCCCAGATTGCCAACACTGAAAAAGAGCTTTGATTTAGTGATAAACATTGATTTTAAACAATGAAAGAAAGTCATTCAGATTATATAATTAATTCTGTCATTATAAAAATGCCGATAATCGCTTTACAAATCCAAAGTTGAAAATTACGGATTCATAATGCATAAACTTAAACGAAAAAAAAGCCACAGCATAAACTAACAAACAGATGAGGAAGAGACTAAAACAGCACCAAGACATGTATAATTGATGCCTCTATAAATGAATCATTAGTACATAAGGTTAAATCCACACTGAGTGTATGGCTGTGATAGAAGTCTGTAGCTGGATCAACTAGAACGGATCTGTTTTATAGAAGTGTTGCGTATTCAAAACAAAATATGAAGCTACTAGTTTTCCGTTAAAAAACAAAAACAGAGTGGGTGGTTGGTGGGTGCTCTGGTGTGGTTTACTTCTTCTTTCCTATCAACATCTATCGTCCTTATTTCCCCTTCTTCTTTTTTATGTTTGTTACTCTCTTGTAACCCCTCTAATCATCTGGCGCTCATATGACCTTATGCAGTTGCGAGCGCCTAAAACCTCTACTAAAAGTAAAACTAAAAACAAAAACAAAAGCAAGTTAATGCTTCTAATTGATAGTTCGTCTTTCAAAAGCACATTAAAAATCTATCTAAAAATGTGACGTAATAGCTAGGGACACCACCGTTCACATAATAATATATGATAAATGTTCGGTTCTTCCATTCTCAAGTGGGGGATATGTTTCACACAATGGGTTGGCTCTGACCGGCACTGTCAAAACAGACGAGCATATAAAAACACAGGTCAACCAGTATTTGAAACAGCTGTTACAGCAACGCGTTGCGATTTGGTCTCATCTTCACCGTTTCAAAATTTAAAAACATTCCACACGGACTAGATGAAACTGCCGCTAAAAAGCGTTGAATAAAAAAACACAAAAAAACCCACAACAACAACCCGAACACTTTGAAAGACAAAGTGACAAAATCTCACCCGGGAATCCCGGCACTTCCGCCGTCCATATTCGGCCAGGGTAGCGTTTTGAGCCAAGTATCATAAACTGTTTTTCTGCCTGCAGCTATTTCGTCAGGGTTTGGGTTCGGAACCTGTATCAGATGAGTCCAAAAAGGGGTCCGTTTGTGTGGTCTGTTGTGTATTTTAAAGGGTTATGAAGGTCAGTTTGTTTCTGGCTTCTTTACTTTAGTTACCACACTGGAACCAGATATGTCAATGTGTGGACCTTGGAACTATTGCTTTCAGCGAAGTGAAGTCTGTCATCTTGGATTACCATGGAAAGACAATAAGGCTTCCACACACATTGTTCTACTTTTCCAACTATTTGTTTAAATTCCAGCCCTTTGAACTTTATTATGTTGACAGCTTGTGTTTATCGCTTTTTATTGCTGGTGGTGGATCTATTTTGTTAGCAGAACATGTCAATGCAAATAAGGCTAAATTTGAAATAAAGTGTTTCTTCTCACCTTTTTTGCGGCATCAAAGAGGATGTCATGCATCATAGGGGTACTGCCAGCTGACAATGTGTCGTTTCCTGAAAAGAAAGTAGTGTTCACACAGCTTATTCATTTAGCTAAAGATTAGACCCTACCCAGAAAATAACGTTTGTTTGACTTACTGCCAATAATCAAAATCATTATTACTATTAATATTTTTTTTTAAATTGCTTTTAATAGTATGATATTAATAGTTCGTCCCTCAATGCCTTACGATTACCAACGCATCTGCAAAGGAGTAGAAGGTTAAAGTTTTATTGTAATTTTTATAACTATTATTATAATCACCATAATCGTTTCGCTATGGCACGTGATTTACATCAATCATTGCTTTAAAATAAAGACCATCTATCACAAATGACACCTGCAATATGCATGAGATGCTGATAATGAAACAACACTGGCACAGGCCAATGGTGCCATGGGAATATTTTGGAAGAAAAATTATGAAAAGAAAAGTATTTTTTCTTTAAAAGGTTCTGCGGAAATAAGTCTAATGTTGGCAAAAGTAATTTTCGTATGTTTGAATGTATTCTAACTCAAGTAACAAAGTATGCCACTCACCTCTTACTGCAATGTCCACATTCACGTAAGCTACGGCTCTTTCCCTCAGAGTTGCCACGTATTGCTGACAATGAAAACGAAAATAATAATTATTTTCAAAGTACACACTTCAAACAAAACTTGATTAAAACAATTTTTATGGTTTCTATTCGAAAGTGGGGAATCCTAACCTATCGGGATTCTACGCCTTTCGGTCGGAATTCTGTGTCCCGCTCAGCCCTGGTCGCTCGTGACAGGTTTTCTAAATGATTGAAATTGTTTTAGTACTGGTGTAGACTGGGACTACGATTATAACATGTAACTCGGAAGGTAAATTCTTCTGTGTACGGTACGCGACCAGTTTTGTCATTCAAGTTTTCAGCATCACATCTTCCCTACAAATCCACTCCTATTTAACCTGTTTGAGTTTGAATAAAATAAACACAAAACTGAGAAGAAATGAATGATTCGAGCAAAATACAGGGTGATAAAAAAAACCAACAACTGTACAACTTTTTTTCAGAATATCTTGCACAAAATTTGTACTGGAATGTTGTAATTTGGAAAATATATAATTCATTCCAAAAGGAATTTGTTTGACATAAAATTCACAAAGAAGAAACTTATTTCAGAAAACTGGAATGGCTTTTTATAAAAACCACCTATAAATGCAAAATGCACCAATTTAAAAGATCTTGTAAGGAAAGTCAGGAAACGATTGATTTGTTATTTTCTTTCCTTTAAAAAAAAGTAATCTTTCCATCCCGTAACCTTTAAACAATATTTCTTTTCTCCTACAGAGTTAAAAACCATACTTTTTAAGTTCTGGAAATTCGAGAACGAAAGGTCAATATGTCGATTTTAATGTGTTGTTTGTAATGTCCGGTGGTGGCGAAACACAAGGATCCACTCAACCATGAGTGTTCAAAGCCACACACACCGTACACCACAGTAAGGAGCTGTTTCTGCAGACAATCGGGGGGGTTGCCCAAATAGACAGCATTTGTGGAGTTGATATAACCTGAAAGATGAATATATGCTTTGCCAAGGAACCAAATGTCATAGAAGAAATGTTCACTCTGTTCAAGACGATCGTGGAATCATAATCACATTGCTATCTTTTGATAGCTTCGCAAAAGGGGAAATGGGACAGTAGTAAATGAAGATCTGCCTTGAGAATGCGGACCGTTTAGATGTAGGAAAGTCATAGGTGCAGACATCGTCCACGGAAAGACATCTCATGGGGCTCATCTACTGAATTTTGCACCCTGGTGACGTTTAAAGGGGTGCGAACGGTGTGTGTTTAACCTGAAATGGTCGTTTTGTTTGGGGACTTTTAGTTCTGATTCTCTCTACAAGTGTTAACTGATGGACCATTTTCACCCTTGACATTAAAGAAGGCCTTAAGGGCACTAACATTATTTCCGTGCCTTGTACGAAACTTACGAAATGAGTTGGTGGTGAGGAAATGTTCAATACAAAAAGCTCTCTGTTCTTCTTTAATCTTAACCATGATCTCAGCAGGCAAAGGAAACTTGAGAAAGACTATCTGAAAACTTCTGTTGGCCTGTTAGACTACTGTAGCTTGCAATATGATGCAATCGTTGGAATCTTTAGTGGTAGGCCAAATGCGAACTAGTGCGTCATGCTACAAAAAATGGGGACATATCTGGAAATGGGTTGTTTTTTTACGCGCTACGTAGAGCAAAACTATCTTGTGGATTTATCTAAAATGACAAATTCCATTTGACTTCCGAATGTTGTGTACACATTCGAAACACAAAACATCAGTGTGGAGGAAAAAATTTTTTTTTTAAGTTGTAAAGTTTTTTTTGGATCACCCTGTACACATTCATTTTTAATGAACAGAAAAAAGGTTTGGCTGGGTTTAGGTAGTTTTTTCCGGTTACAACTGTAAACAAACGAAGTATGTAGTAAATCAGCTAAACTGTGCACTGCATACTGAGAGTTGATAATATTTACGCTCTTTTAAAATTTTTATTGTATTCAGCGACCAGTGGACATAAGGGGAAAAAAGATGCAGAAACAGACATACATGCAAATCAAATGCAGTTAGTGGTGCACGTAGGGACAAATATACATACATACCTCAACCCATTCGGTGGAGCCCAGCAGGCCATATTCTTCAGCCCCCCACGAGCAGAGGATGATAGACCGCCGAGGTTTCCACACACCTAGAGACCATTGAAAGAAAAGGTGGGATATTATGGTACGGTATGGCACAGCGCGGCACGGTATAGTAAATAGCATGGTACGGTCTGGTATGGTCGACATGGAAAGGTATGTTATGGTATATTAACATGGTATGGTGAGACGGGGCGCGGCACAGAACGACACGGCAAATATATATAATATATAATATATATATAATATATATATTTATATAGATAGAGAGAGAGAGAGAGAGAGAGAGAGAGAGAGAGAGAAAGAGAGAGAGAGAGAGAGAGAGAGAGAGATGGAAAAAGGGAGACAGGAAAGATATACATATAGAGAGAATCATAATAACACATTATATATATATTATAATAAAGGGCAGCCCTATAACACAGCATTAGCGTGCCCACTGAGTGGATCGAGCGTTTCTCGGACCAAATTTCCCTTCCGAGAACGGTTCTAATTAGTCGAAACGAGACCGCGCACGGAATGGCTTCGTTCACTCCAGTTTATTTCCCCGGTAGGAATTTTGGAGTGATATTTTTAGCTTACGTCACCTAGTTGACAGTAGCTAGTGGGTTAGGGTAGGGGCATGCTGGAATGCTAGGCTAGCCTAGATGTAAATCTAGATGATCCGAAGATGATCTGAGAGTCTTTCTTCTTTTGTTATGGACGTAATAGTTTCGATGCTCCAATATTGGATGAGGAGAAGAAGGCAGAATTGCAGGCGCTTCTGGGTACATAATATGACGTAGATAATGTTATATGTGTGTAAACTAGTGTCATTTTTCATGCTGATTTAGTAGTAGTAGTATAGGGTTTTACGCGCCCGCAACTGCTAAGGTCATATGAGCGCGCGAAACACAAGTTGTCTACTTTCGCAAAAGTTCACTGCACGGTTGGTTAGCTTTCAGCCTTTAGAATGTATAAATTTTCAAGTAATATAAAAAAATTTAAATAGTATCAATTTCACTCTACAACTCGCAATAAAGGCCAATGGCCTTTATAAAATTCAAAATTCTGCTGGGAACAACGACGGAAAAAATGTCTTGCAATTTCTTGCATTTATAATATTTCCTTCGGATCTCTCCAAAGTCCAGACATTCGGTCAAGATGTGTCTAATGGTAAAATCTGTGTTGCATCCGACACAGAACGGCTTCTCATCTCCTTGTAGGAGGTATTTGTGGGTCAGGGCCGTGTGTCGGATGCGCAATCGAGTAAAAATGACTTCGTCTCTTCTGGAGAGGTCCGAAGGATTTCGCTGTTCTAGTTTGGGTTTTATTTCATATAGTTTATTGTTTTTCTGCTTTTCCCAGTGGCTCTCCCACAGACTGGAGGTTCATGCTGATTTCAAATCTGTAGTCAAAGTTCAGATTTGAGGGGAAAAAATGGGTCTCTCAAATCCCTCCCGCCTGGAGATTTTGTCGAATCTTGGATCAATTTAATGTAAGCGCTGCACTTAGTTGGTCCCGTGAACGGACGACAAATTGGAAACTTGTGGAAACAAATCGTACGCACTCCGTGCTCTCTAGTTATTTTCATTGTGAATAAATTCTCCCGATAAAATGTAGTTCCACTGACGAGAAACGCTTGGATCCACTCGGATTGAGCCTTTAGTGTACACCAGTCCCATCAAACCAAGTTCAAGTCGCCAAATACATTGATGTCTACTGTGTATATAATATATCGTAAATGTTTATTTTGCCCTCACTCAAGTAGCGCGGCCTTTGTGTTCTTTTACTTCACCCCCCCCACACTGACCGGTCGCCTCACCTTTCTGTACCAAATCGCCCATGACTCTGGCTAGTTCCAGCATGACAGCTGTTCCAGAGGATGGATCAACAGCCCCATAGATCCAGGCGTCCCTGTGGTTGCCGTACAAAACATAGCGGTCTGGAGACACAAAAGAGACGGCGGTGGGGTGAGGAGGGAAAGAGGTGAGGGTGGGGGGTTGCAAGATATCCTATTGTAAATATGCATGTGTTCTTGACTGGTGAGAAAAGGGTACTATTTTACTCAATTGAAAGACGCTTGGCGAGGAGAAGAAGGATGAGGAGGAGGAAATTTCCAACAAGAATAACAAAAACGGAGGTGGAGGAGGAAAATTCAAACTAGAATAATAAGAAAGGAGGAGGAGGAGGAGGGGGAGAAGGAAGGGGAGGAGGAAAATGAGGAGGAGGAGGAGGAGGAG